TATATATATGCATATCCTCTGAGTAATTCCATTTCCAGGTATATGCCCAAGAGAATTGACTGTTTATGGCCACCAAAAGACAACTGAAACTGGTATGGTGGTGCACACCTGCAATCCCAGCATTTGGCAAGATTATGAATTTGAGGTTAGCCTCAGTTACACAGTGAGGCTCTGCCTAAAAAAGGAAAGTGCAGAAAAGGACAGCTATAACCATTGTCTTAGCAGAACTCTTCATAACAGCTCCAAACTTGAATTAGCTTGAATACCATCAGCAAAAGAGACACATAAATTATGTTGTATGTACATGATTGAATAGTATACACCAAAGAGAATGATCTAGAACTATACTCAATAATATGAATCTCACAGTGTTCAGCAAGCCAGAGATGAGTACATATTCATTTTTGTAAACTACAAACTATGAAAAAGCTATATGCAAATTAGATTTAAATGTTTGTAATAAAAAGATTGCTAAATGTCTCCAAAAATGGTTAGATCAAATATCTTTATCTGCTCAGTGAATTGCTATGCAGCTTGGTCAAAGATCACAATTTTTGAAATTATATGAAAAAAATGCAAAATGTTCTCCAATTTAAAATGTTCTTTGAAATTCTTTTCCAATCCAATTTAAAAGACATAGCTATCTAAGGATTAACCACATTTTTTTATCCCACAGAGAAAATATACATACTTAATATCAAAATAATATTCCACAATATAGTAATATGATTTTGCAAATTAAAATCCCAAATGGAACATTTTAAAGATCTTTCAAAAGTAGTATTTTCCCTTACTTTGAAGTGTACTTCTGCCTAAATGGCAGAAGCAGTAGGGAGAGGTAAGAGAGGTCTGGAAACTGGCTTCTAGTCTCAGTTCTGTTGTCAACCAGCTTTAAGACTTTGGAAAAAGTCACTCAATATTTCCAAGCATTATTTCTAAAGCAAAGACTTTGAATTAGTGGTTCTGAAGCTTGACTGCTTACTGTAACCACCCAGAGAATTTGTTTACTTGTTTGAGACAGGGTCTGTCTCTGTAGCCCCAGTTGGCCTCAGTCTCACAGAGATCCACCTGCCTCTGCCTCCCAGTGCTGGGATTAGGGTGTGAGCTACCACACCTGATGAGACCCAGAGACTTTTTAAAAATACAGTGCTGTGTGGGCTTTTCCCTTTGGTTTGATTTATTTGGTCTGGGTATCAGGTAAACACTGACAAGTTTGAAAAGCTGATCAAGTATACAATCAAGAATGAGAGCCACTGAACTTTCTAATGCATACAGGTCTCTTATTCTTACTCACAAATGATCTGTAAAACATATTTTCCAAAAGAAATAAAAACAAAGGGGTTCTTTGAAAAGTCAGATAGCATTTGGATAAACAGAATACTCATTGGTCCAGTTATGAGAATAAACATTGTATAGTCAAGGGAAAAGTCATACAGTTGTTTCCTAAACTTAAGTTGAATAGTGTTTCCCTAAAATTCATGTCCATTGGTACTTGTAACTGTAACCTTATTTGGAATAAGTTCTCTGTAAATGTAACCAACTTAAGATACAGGTTATACTGTATTAGGGTGGGCCCTAAATCTAGTATGACTGGTGTTCTTAAGAGGAAATGTGGACACAGAGACAAACTGGTAGAATGTTATTGATGACAGAGACAGACTGGTGTGACATAGCTGCAGGGCAAAGAACACCAAGGATTTCTGACAATCACCAGGTACTAGGAGACAAATACAACAAATTCTCTCTCAGAACCTCCAAAGGTAACCATCCTGCCTACACCTTGATTTTGGAATTCTAGCCTCCTAAACTGTGAGAGAATAAACTTGTTATTGCAAGTCACTGTAGTATAGCCTGTTACAGCAGCAATAAGAAACCAATACAGATGATTCCCCCCCCCCAAAGCTGGGGTAACTGGGAAGTTCTAGATAATTATTAAGAGTTTCTATAGTAAATACATGAAGATTAACAGTGAGGTACTCACTAAAAAACTGGAAATAAGTATCCTCAATTTGGATAATGAGAGTGATAAACAGATTCCCTTTAAAAAGAAATCATTCCAAGGTCAGAAATAATTTACTATATAACCTGCCTAAAGATAATTTTTGTGGTGTAGCTGTTAAAAGCAAAGAATACAGAGTCTCACAAGGAAAATGAAGACAGTATCATTTTACCACTGTTCAGGAGAGAAGGAGTCTCAGAAAATGGACTATGAGAATTACTCCATGGAAAGGCTATCTCTGTTTGAAGATGAATGAATCAAGTTATCTTAGCTTGATGCCATTGAATATTCAAACAATAAAACTTCTTTTGTTCTAATTCTTTGCTCACCAAGCAATCTTCTGATTATAATTTGGCTCCCCATGTGTGTAGTCTAGAGGGAAACAATGAGCTGGTCAGACCAGCAGGAGAATCTGGGCCTTCTGGCAGTTGTTTCTGACTATAAATTAATAAATCGACATTCTCCAATGTATTAGTGTCTTAGGAGCCCGTCATATTCAGCATTCCCTTGTCTAATCAATTCCAATAGCTGACAAAATTGAGTTTCTAAAAAGGGAGTTGGACTTTGACTGGTAGCAAGTTACTGAGGTAAATGCTGCCAGGTAGGACTGGGTCTGGATCATTAGTCAACCTTCTTTCAGAAATAACATTTTAAAGCATTATTTTCATTATAACTTGTCTAATATGTGGGCATTTGGTTTTTAAAACACAAGTAGGATCTTTTAACCCTGTTTTAATGCTCATCCCTGCTGAGGGTTAAGCAAGTAAGTTGCCAGAGAAAGGATGGGCTTTGAAACATTGAGTCTAAAAATTTCAAGGTATATGGATTACAAAAGGCTGAAAACCATTTCAAGAAATGACCCCATTAACAATTAATTTTGGGGGCTGGAGAGATGGGTCAGTGGTTAAGAGCACTGGTTGCTCTTGCAGAAGACCCAAACTCAGTTTCTAGCACCCCCATGGCAGCTAACAGCTATCTGTAACTACAGTTCCAGGGGATCCAACACCCTCTTCTGACCTCTGCAGACATTGCATATACCTATTATACTTACATACATGAGACAAAACACTCATCATACACACAAAATAAAATAAAATATCTTTTTAATTCCTAACTTTGTCACTCCATGGTAAGTATGGTTCTGAAACTAAAATATATTGCAAATATATTAAAACATCTTCTCTAACAAATATTTCTTTTAAGAGTAACCTATGACAAATTAAGATGTGGTAGAACATTCAGCTAACTGCCAAGTTAGACTCCAAATCAGTCTCTTCTAGGGTCTCCAGGTTACTCTGAAGAAATAGTCACTGCTCATTTATTCTCATTTTTTTCAGAGCCACTAACATATTCTTATTGTGAATTTTCAAACTGGGTGTTTTGAGATGGTAATAGTAATTTCCAAATATTATAGAAGTTAACAACTTGGTTAACATTTATCAATATGGGGAAGACAGTATTTTTGTGTGTTTTCTACACTGTAAATAGCTTAAGTAAAAAAGGTAATGAAAACAATCTGATGAATCAGACTATGGAACTATGTTTAAATTTTTTGACCAAGCTAGGATTAGTGAATTCACTACTGAAGATTGCTTGCTTGTTTGGTCTTTTTGAGACAGGGTCTCTCTGTAGCTACAGCTAGTCTGGAACTCACTATGTAGACCAGGCTGGCTTTGATCTCTCAGAGATCTACCTGCCTGTGTCTCCCAAGTGCTGGAATTAAAGGCATGCACCACCATGCCCAGCTTGAAGATTGTTTTAAACTAAATTTGAGGCAGTGCCAAACTGCAATTTCTGGCACTCAGCTTTTACAGGATTTGTATAAAGAAAGAAAAAGGCAGAATCTTACTTTGCTATTGGGACAGAGTCAGATCTTAGGGGACACAAAGATACAGCAACATCTAATGACTTATTCTTCCAGTTCACAGGGGCTCAAGTCTCAGCATAAGAAAGCATTAAAAAGGAGAGGTGAGAAGCAAAACATTTAAAGTCTGTTAAATTTATAAAGAACCAGTTTTAAAAGTTTAGAATATAATTGGATCAACATATTTTAAAAACTATTTTATTATTTTTATTTTATGTGTATGAGTGTATTGACTGCATGTATGTAAGTGCACCAGTGTTGTGCAATGCCTATGGGGGTCAGACGAGGGTGTCAGATTCCCCAGGAACTAGAGCTATGAACAGTTAGTTGTTAGCTGCCACGTGGGTACAAACCCAGGTCCTCTGCAAGAGCAGCCAGTGTTCTCAACCACTAAGCCATCTCCCCATCCCCTAGATCAACATTTTCAAAGAAGATTTTAAAGCTCTGACTACTAGTCACTATTATAGCACCTGGCCTCAATCAAATTATTCAGAAGGGCAGAAATAAATAACAAAGTTGGAAGTGTGAATTCAAGTTGGAATCAGTGACTTTGGGTACACAATATGACCACACACATAAATATTTACTCAACAGATTGTTGCTGCTTGACTCTTAATCAAATAGAATTGTATGCAGAATGTTATACTAACTGGTAATAATTCTTACTCTTTTTTTTTCTCCCAGAGCTGAAGATTAAACCCAGGACCTCATATATGCTAGTAAGTGCTCTAGCACTGAAGTACACTAAACCACAGTCCTAGCCCAAGGTAATTCTTCTGATAAAATTTTAGAGGGTTCTTGGTTATGTATTATATAAAAACACCCTATTCGAATGTTGGCCTATCCTTTGGACACTTCTGTGGAAGGGTGTTGGGAGCAGGACAGAGGTATGAATCACAACTGGGTGAATAAAAGCAGCAACAAAGCTTAACCTAAATAGCACTGAAAGAGATATGCCCACCTATCATTCTTATTCAAAAGCTACTTGTAGGCTAGGGAGATGACACAGTGGGTAGAGGTGCTTGAATGAAGGCCTCATGACCTGAGTTCACCCCTCCCACAAGGTGGCGGGAAATAACCAACTCGAACCTCCGTGTGTTTACTGTGGCATTAGTGTACCCACATTCACACATATACAACACACATGCACAGACACAGTAAAATAAAATCTGAAATACAGTAAATTACAGAAACAAAAATATCAACTATCAATCAACTAGCTGTGTAGTACTACAAAGACAAATGCCAACCAGTCTGCTATCACAGATAAGCTCTACTTTTGAATAGGTGAGATGAACTCTGCTTTCAAATTCTGTTAATATATATACAGATGATACTTCGAATTTAAAGCAAAAAAGAAGTTGGCCAACTGAAGCTCCCAGATTTAAAAATCAATCAGTCAACTAATCAACTAATCCAACAGTCAATCAATCAACGAATGAAATTCTTTTTAACTACCAAAAAAAGGGAAAGAAGCTGGCCAACAACCTAGGAAAGACGTTAACATCTCCTGTGACAACACACAGGATCATCCTCTGACAGCACAACCAGAAATCTTGCAACCTTATAGCTTGAAGCTTATAGAGAAATAGTTGGGTCTATGTTTCCAATTCTGTATCTTGTTTTATTAGCTAAATTGTGTACTTTTCTCCTGTTACACAGTTTAGAGTATTCACTTCTTTGCTTATGGTTATGAGATCTTCCTCTACCTTGTTCCAATGTATGAATCTTCATAACAAAAGAACAAAAATTTAAGAACAATTCAACAATGAAAAAGATGACTGATTAAACACATTTAAACTCTGATCCCCATTAAGAAGAATGAGAAGAACTAAGCAATGACAAATGCCTATAATATGCTGAACACTGTGTTTAGCACTTTTCTAGAGGCTTCCTTCATTAGACTTCAGGTAAATGCTATTTTTATGTCTGTTAAGTCAAACCTGAAAACGCTCAATATTAAAAGGCAAGCTTTGCAAAGCAGTTTTCTAAATCATCCATGTGACTGAAAGGAAGCACCGAGACAGGTAAAGTGAGCAGTGAGTTTATCCCAGATCTCTGAGACCAGAGCTCAATAAATAAGCAGGAGCACACTATTACAGTAAATACTATATTTAATGCTAGTAAATACTAGATTTTCTCAAAGAACTTGAAGAACTACCGTACATCTCTAAAGTCTCTAAACTTTGCTTCATGGTTAAGTAGTCAAGCTGAGCACGGTGGTGCACACCTTTAGTTCCAGCACAGGAGGCAGAGGCATGTGAGATGGGAAACAGCCTGGCCTACACAGTGAGTTCCAGGCCAGCTGTAGTCAAAGGGAGACCCTATGTAAAAAAGCCAAATAATAATAATAATAATAGAAAGGTCAATCTTTAAGACAGACAGACAGAAAAAGTAAGTCTTAAAATGTAGCTTAAATAAAATCTGATATACTGAGTATGCAGCTTTACTACAAACAATATGATACTGCAGAGAAACTAGATAGCAAGCAAGTTAAGGTTAATTACAAAATAAGGTCATATGAAACTACAAATTCTGTCACAGAAGGTAATGTTCTCTACCTAGATTTGTCTTGAGACTTTCAACCAGGCAGCACAAGTCGCATTCACTGAAATTATTGGAGGTTGAGGAAGCACTTTGTCATGTAAGTGGGTATTTCAAATAACTGAAGTTTACTAAGGCTAAAACAAATGAAATTATTATAGAATAAGAAAAAAAAATGCACCCATGCCTTCAAAAGGCTTTCTTAATGATTCAAGATTATTTTGTATAGCCTTACTGTATAGGACATACTATAAATCAGTTTGTCTTTTCTCTACTTCCCATCAGCTCTGTGAGCCACTGTAGTTTGGAACAAGCATCTTAGCTCTCCACAAGCAAATGCATGGCCTTTGTGGAGAGGTAGATGAAATTATGTGAGTTACTACACAAAATACCCATGTCTTTTCCCCCAACTCAGTTCAACGTAAACAGATCTATGCCCGAAAAGCCTTGAAGTGGTAGGAAAACTGATCTTCAATTATTTGTGTGGTCATTATATTTGTCAGCACCCTAATATCAAAAGTACAACATAATCACACTTTGTGTAACTTTTTACCAGGTTTTATCTATTAGGAAATAATTCTAAGACATTTAAAAGCTTTCTGTTTTTCCTATACAGTATTAGAGCACCACCTTGTGTCAGGAAACTGACCAAATGAGCAGACCTGTATTGCATTCAGTTACCTTAGTTGTCCAAAGTTTTACTGTCCAGTCAAATGATGAAGTGACAAAAAGATGTGAGAAGTCTACTGCTCCAACAGCTGCATGACAATGGATGCCGGTGATGGGTCCTTGATGCCCCTCAAACATCTCACTGATTCCAGCTTTGCTATTTCATAAAAGTGAAAATGTTAGGAAACTCTCCCATAGTAGACTACATATAAATATCTTATTGTGGGTTTATAGATCAGATTTTTAATTTCAACAAACATAATTCTACACTTTCAATGCATCAGCATAATTTATGCTGAATGTTATTCTATTCAGATTTTGATAACACTACTAAAGTAGTAGGCATCTTTTGGAGCCATAAACATCATGCTGTTGACAAGAGAACCTACAATTCTAGTATCTAAGGTAGCAGAATAGGGACAGAGGGGGCTATGTAAGAGACAATTGGGGCCATTTTTTAATCAAAAGCTTTGAAGTGAAGGTGATCTGTATTTTAAATGAAATCCAGATGCTCATTTTTTTTATAGGAACCAATTGATTAGGAGCAGCTAAACAATTTCAAAACAAATTAAACAATGGGATAAATACTAGTAAATTAAAAATATGTACATGACATATAGTTATCACTAGTATCAACTAAAGCCCAAAGCCCAAATAAATCAAAATAAGAAAACAGGTAAAAATTTTATTTACAAATCTGAAGGCCAGTATGTGGTATGTGCATACTGCATTTAAAAAAATGATTTATTTTTATTTTATGTGTATGAGCATTCTGCCTGCATGGATGTAAGTGCATTGTGTATGTGTGATGCCCACAGAGACTAGAAGAGGGTGTCAGATACCCTGGAACTGGAGTTATGGATGGTTGTTAGCTGCCATGTGGGTGTTAGGAACTGAACCCAGGTAGGTCCTTTGCAAGAGCAGCCAGTGAGTGCTCTTAACCATCCTTCCAGCCCCACACTGAATTTATACTTGATGACTATTCCTCCCTACCAGAAACTTCTGTGAGATGCATACACAAAAATCCATACAATACACTACAACCTACAAAATCAAAAACATCTTATAAATATAAGATACTTTTATTAAAAAAAAATTAACTTTAAAGTGAGGTGTGGTGGTGCATGACATTAATCTCAACACTAGGAAGGCAAAGACAGGCAGATCTCTGTGAGAGTAAGGCCAGTCTGGTTTACACAGTGAGTTCTTTAGGCCAGCTGGGGCTATAGGGAGACCCTGTCTCAAAAAACACCACCACCCACCAAAAAAAAACCCCCAAACTTTAAATTTTATGTGCCTGAGTTTAGTATACCAGGAGTCTAAGACAGCATTCTATTTCAGTAAGGAGTAATTTGTTTCAATAAGACAAGACAAGGAAAAATGTTTTAATAATTGCTAGTTCCTATTTAGGTTTACCTGCCATGGCGGCATGCTGTGTACACAGAACCTTCTTCACTTCCCACAACGAAGTTGTTGACATCTCCAACGGGGAAGGACATAGATGTCACGGCCACTGCCTTTGACTGTTTATGAACCAATTCCATGCTATCCTACACAGAAAATTTCTTTGTAAACTCTTAATTTCAAATCCTTCATAGAAAACCTTCTAATTCTAACTGCTTTGTGAGCCATTCTTTAACATACTACTTATAAAAACCTACCTCAGTTAAATTAAGCATGTTTGATAAGATATATACACAACAAACTGTATTTAACACACATTTAGGTTTATAATTTATATAATATTATGAAAAGTTTGTGAAAAAACACACACTAAGGTATATGTACAGTAAAAAGTAACATTTACTTTAAAATTTCAGTTTCCCAAGTTCAACCTACCTGTGGGTGGGAAAGCATGTCCAAACTCCAGGAGCAAATTTTTCCATCAGTAGAGATGCTAATCAGATTATGAGCATTTTGTGTCCCAACAACATTTACACAATAGACAGGGTGCTAAAAATGTTAAAGAAAAAAGTCTAATTATGGGTATTTTGTTCATATCAAAACAGTTTCATAATCTGATAACTTTTTGGTTTGGTTGGTTTTTGTTTTGTGGTTTAGTATTACTGGGGAATTGAAACCAGGGCCTTGCACATTGCTAGGAAAGTGCTCTATCACTGAGCAATATCCCCAGCCCTGATTGGGAGTAGTTTTCACACGAAGTTTGTTACTATTAGGTTAATAAAAGATTGTCTTAGAAGAGAGGTGAGTTCCTGATATGTGCATCCCTCAAAATACAGAAGAAAGGCCTTCGTTCCTGGTTGCTAAAGGATGAGGAACTCGTACATCAAAGGAAACACATTTTGAAACCACTCTGCTGGATGCTACAGAGCAGTTGGAGGGGAAGGAGCACAGAACCTAATGAAATAACCTTTTTCACTTACTGTGTGTGCAGCAGCTGACAGTGGAGTTCTTTGCACTGGAGTTCTTTTATTGCTACGATTATCCCAAAGCACAATTTGGCCTGAGTATGTACCACCAACGACAAGATTTGGATGAAATTTTGCAAATGTAGCAGACATTACAGCTGACTGCAAATAAGAATTTTTGTATTTAAAATTTCAAGTGAAAGTCAGATGAATTAAAAAAACAAATTTATTATCTGGAACATTTCCCTCTCTACTGTATTAGAGGTTATAAAAATTAATTACATTTTAACTTTGTGTAAGAAATATAAAAAATCCTTTAGAATGTTTTCGTTCAAAAGTCAAACATGATGTGTATCTTTGATAAACTATGTAAACATACAAAAAACAAAAACTTGCTTCATTTGATTACAGTTTTAAAGGATACCTGGCCTGTGATTGACCTCTGACTGTACTATAACAGTAAAATATATACTAATTTTGATTCAGGGTATTTATTCTGGATTATGACATTATTAAAAGATTTCAAGTATGCAATCAGAAACACTTGCAAATTCTAACCTTCTAAATCTACTTTAGAAAATCTACATCTGCTTCCTACTTCAACCACATGTTTCTACTTAAAACTATCTAGCTCTAACTCCTCAGGCCATGTACAAGTAATTCAGTGGGCCAGCCGTCTAATTGTATATTCAGCAAGTAAGTTCCTGAGAGACTCCCTGTAGAAAAGACATTTCCTAAAAGATCCCTTTTATATGATCAATCACAATAACAGAAAATCACAACTGCAAAGGACTTTAGGAGTGATTAAACATAAGAGATGTCAGGAAAGCTACAAAAGGCAGATCATGTTGAACTGAGACGTATTCAGTTTTCTGTTAACATATGTTTGCAAATATGGAGTGGTTTAGCAAATGCCAATCCAATGAAATCATCATGTTGACAAGAAAGGAAAAAAAGCACTTGTCTAAATTTATTAATGAATCCTTAAACTTGAGGAAGACTGTTAAAAGACCATCTTACCTGACAGTGGAACACGTACTCTGGGGTAGTCTTTTTGTACTTCATATTCCATACAAGGGCCACACCATCAGGCTCATGAGGAGCATCTTCATTGTTATTATAGGAAGCTACAAGTAACTCTGGATACTGCTCGCAAGAATGGAGTGGAAAAAAAAGTCTATGCATAATAAGAACTATTTTGTGTTCCTAACTATCAGATTGTTCCTGTCAGGTTGTTTTGAAAATACATGAAAAATTATTTCTACAATTATACTCTTTAAGATATTAGCACAATTTAAAATGAGCACAGTTGATTATTTAAAATGGTTTAATGTTAAAGCATTTTATTAAAACAATTGTTTAAATTTTATACAAAGCATTTGGTGAATAAATTTGGGTCTTGGCATAAAGTTCTGAATTTCAAATCTAACATTTTTCATTCTTCCAGCATACATAATACAAAGTGATTATGGCAATATTAAAACTATTATCCACTGTCATTTTAAATGGATACATATTGATTTAATTACAAAAGATACAATTAGAATAAAATATATGCTAATTATAACTTTAAAAGTTAGTAACAATAAATGTTGCTATATTTTACCTGAGATGACCAATCCAAACAACTAACAACTCGATGCTTTGACCAGCGCTCATCAAAGAATTGTCGATTTAATGATAGTTTAGCACCTGCTTGAATCTCCCTATAGAAAAAGATCAACCCCCCCCCAAAAAATAGTGTTATAATTTAGACCACTCTCAACCTTACAATAACTTAATGCTGCTGAAACAATAATCTTGGTAATTACACATTACCCTTCTTTGTCTTCCAAATCTCTCCCACTGTAGTCAAAGAAGATGTTAATCTGTTCAGAAAGAGCCCTTTCTACAATTCTTGTAGAATGGTCAAAGAAACTTAAAAATTCCTCTGAGTGTAAAATTTGTTGCTTTTCTTCTTCAGTTAGCTCATGAGGAGGAGCTGGAAAAAAAAATGGGTTATTTTCTTTTTTGAAGTATGACTTAGGCCAGTCAAATCATGTCAGCTCACTATTACAGTTTGGAACAAGAAATACCATACATTCTTTTTAAACCACATTCACATCTTTGACTTGGAGCATTTTTTTCCATTTTAACACATACGTGATAAAAGAAGTTTTGAGAGTAATCGTTAAAAACAAAATTAAAGTTAAATACTTTAAGATACCTTTACTGTCAATTTCTTCATCTTTTTTTAAAGTTTTCTCTTCTTCGGGTTCAAGAGGAGGTTTAGGAGTCACTACATCATCTTCTTCCTCTTCATCTGAACAAAAAAAAATGGAATAAAGAAAAATATTCTTATAAAAATAGCTGGTAACACCTAAGGTTGTATTTTAGACAATATACAACTTCATAGATGAAAGTAGAAGTAAGTCACTAATAAAACATAGAGAACATGAATTTTACCAGCACTATCTTAAAGAATTAAGTCAAACCTCTTGATTTGTATACATAGCTCTATACCTCATCAAGAATCATATTAAATTCTGTTACTACATAAGTATAAGATATGTAAGCAAATAGTATGGACTCCTCATGGAAGTCTTTAAAATCCTGCAAGTATTATCATTCCATACGTAACAACATGCAACTACTGCATAGTTTTATATAGCATGCTGACACATTAATGCTATAGAATGAAAAAAATCAAATGTCTAAAATAGCCCACAGAGCTCACTGCTTACTTGTGATCTGAAACCATCAGTGTTTGATGGGTCTTCACAGGGCATAAAGACGGCTTACATTAACTCTCAGGTTGCTATCTGAGAGGCAGATTTTAAAGATAATAGCTATGAGATCACATTTTCTACTGTCATTTTAAATGCAAGTCTCATTATCTATCATTGTATGATGTGGCAATAAGCACTAAAAACAATATTTTCTTTAATTTTAATAAAAGTACACTGAGGTATACGATGTTTTTAAGACAAAAAAAAAAAAAAAATTACCAAACCTCTTGTATCCCCAGACCAGGATATAACTTGAAATCATTTATTTAAAAATGTTATAGGACACATAACTCTGCCTGCCTTTTCTTTTAACTACAAACCAAGATAGATTTTTATGAAGAAACATGTATTTTTATTGCCTAAGCAAACCTATCTGTCTATAAAGAGAATAGCAGCAGGCATCTGCAACAGAGTGCATCTCAAGTAATGAAAGCCTATTCAATGCGGGGACTTTCCTTGTTCATTACAGTCATTTCCTTGACCCATGTACAAAATGATCTAAAGCACACATACATACAACCTACACAAAAGAATGGTCAAGGATGGGAACCAGCTGCCAAGTCATAGTTCCAGCAGCCAGGCCAGCTGACTAGACAGCAACAACCAGATGGCACTGCTGGGACTGTGTCTTTCTGCTACAAGGTGGCAATGGGATGGCATAGCATTCTTCCGCCTGACTGCTTCCAATCCTCTGTCTCTCCCCAATGGCGAGCCTGTGCAATTACCCACACTCCAGGAGGCCTACAGACAAGCCTTTACCCTGCAAACAAAATGCAGCTTGTAGGCCACACCAGCTGCCAAACCACACACATAGTGTTAGGTTTAGAGAGCTAAGAAAATCTTTCTATCTCTATAGTATAAGCAATGAAAATATAACTGTACCTGTGGAAAGCTTTAAATGACACTGTATAATGCACACAATGATACAACCTCCAACTTAATCAAAATGATAATGACGTATGCCAATCCTACATTACTTGAAATTGAGCGATTTTTACGTTCTGACAAGTTTACAGAACTAGGATAAATGGCAAGAATGATTTCAATATATGCTCATACTTTTGAACCAAATGGTGAAGGTTAAAATTTTTCCTTTCAAGGGCCTCAATCAGCCACAAAGGAAAACAGTAATCACTGTCTTTTCAGCCAGCCCAACCGCATTTGTCAGCCCTTTCTCCGTCAATGCAGCCAGAGCAATCAACCTGCCAAACATTCAGAATGGAAAAACAATCTGAAAATACAGGGTATAATGCACCTGCCAGTGAAAATGGCCATTTCAAGAAAAGCTAGTGATCTCAGTGACCCTGCTGAGGAGGCGGTGGTGCAAAGGGGAAGGAACACGTAAAAGAATTCTTAGTGATCGCCATCTCTTGCACATTGACACTTCCTTACAAAGCATGCCAATTACAGCTTTTGTGCTACTTAAAAAAATGAAAGCTTTTTGGGGCAAAATAATCACATAGAGAAACAGAAAGACACTACTCCTTCTTAGATGAATTCTCATATACAAAGGATTATTAATCTGAAAACAGTGCAACTGATGGTGATTCTGTACTGTACTGCTCAAACATTAGGATACAACTCTGCCATAAAATAATCTGCAAGGCTAATGTAATAAAATAATTTAATTACATTTAACTTCAAAGTTGACTTCTAGAATAATAGGATATTTTGCTTCAATTAAAAATTTAGCATGAGAAAAATATGTATTTCATTTTCTGCTAATACCGTCAGCTCTCCTAATTAGTTCTATTAACTAACAGTTCACTGTATGAAAATTCTAAAATTAAGAGTGGATGTTTTGAGTCACCCTGGACAAGTCATTCCTGAGCACTGTGAATTATAAATTATAGCCTCCTACCCTCACCTTATTCTCCTCTGACTTCGCTGTATTATAGGGCTTCTAGGTACCATTTCCAATGACAGGTGTCAAATTCCTGTCATAATGCATATTTGGTGCTAAGTGACCTTGTAATCTACATATTTAACAGAAAAGATCTTGTTTACAGATAGTCTTTCCTTTTAAAATTTAAAATGTAGATGAATTATGTTAGCCATTGGTCTGGGTCTGCCTACCACACAGCATTTGCCATGCCACATTGTAACTGGATAAGGAGTAGCTATTTAAATACATGCTCTTGGAATTTTAGAATAAATGAACATATCTCTTTGTCTATAAGGACTAAATATGGATTTAAACACTGTAACTGATAATTAAACCCAAACTTCAGAAAAGCAATTAAGGTAAATAACTTTCCAGGATTATAAAAGCAAAGAATATGCTGTTCTTAAAAAAAAACCTGCAAATGTATTTTTTGTTATAAAGCTTATCTTAAGCAATTACCTACAATATCAAGTACAAGTATGGTCTTCTAATCGGGTGTGATGGTATACACCTTTAGTCCCAGCAGAGGCAGGTGGATCTCTGTTGAGATCAAGACCAGCCTGGTCTATATAGTGAGTTTCAGGCTAGCTGGGGCTACAGGGAGACCCTGTCTTAACAAACAAACAAACAAATAAACAAATAAAAGAATGGTCCTCTGGAACAAATGTACTTTTCTTATTAGAAACATAACAATACAGTACCTATTGCAGAACTACTAATATGGTCCCGAAATATAATATTACAATTCTAGAGATTCTGTTAGATGGTCCCTATTACATGGTAAGCTATAATGTACCTAAAAACTGGAAAAGACTATAACTGAAAAGGAAGACTAAAATGGGACTGCCATGGCACATCAATTTACTGATGAATATTCATTAAAATATGCTAAAGTGGTTAACTCCATGCTTTCTCTGACAGGGAAGCTAAGGTTACAAACCGAGCAGTAAAGAGTACAGAAAAGTAGCAGTTACTTTCAAAATGGCAAATCTCTTGTCAATGAGTGCTAAACCTAGGTTTAATGAACCATTGAATTTTTACTTTGAGTTAACATCAAAATTGTGATGTATTTTGGTGAGATGGAAAGAAAAACTGTTCTGTAAATTAAGCTGCATCTAGAGATCACACCAAGGAGTCAAATTCTGGTTGCCAGAATAATCTACAATAGAGTGGGTTAATCAAAGTTAAATCATCTGTGAAATGGGTGGCTTTTGTTAAACTCAAGGAAGGTTTCTTCTAAACAAGTTTTCCCATTTATATGTCATATTACACTTAAGAATAAGCTGTAAGTGATGGGGAGATATGAGAGGAGTTGGAGGGGAGGGAGTGGGCATGGATTTGATCAAAACACCTTATATACATGTTTGAAACTCTCAACAAATTATTTATGTAAATAAAAAAATTTAAAAAGTATATCTCTTCTACATAAAAAATAACCTATAAGCTATACTTTGAACACATTTTAAAAGCAATATGTAAGATCTTAGAATATGGAATATCAGTACTGAAAAAATATTGCTACTTGTAAGTCTATCACTTATGATTCTCAGTATGTAGTTGATAAATACTATCATTACAGCACTGATGTTTAGAAAATAGATTTATTGGCAATCAGTTCATTATTAGTTTTACTATACTGGTATAATATGTATTTTGAGATATTTTAAGATAATTTAATACTGCATGAAAGATAATTTAAGATAACTTAATATTAAATGAAGAATTTCTAATTTATAAAGCCTGGTATATAAGAACTTATGTATCATGTTTGTTCATGGTACAAAGGAAGCTGCTAATGAATTCTAAAAACTAGGCAATTTGCTGCTTAGAAAAATGACTCAACTTTCAAAAAATCAACTTATGAATAATCTTGAAAGCATCTTTAAGAACATCTGTGGGAATCTCTCAATCATTAGTTTAAAAATACAGACTAGGGGCTGGAGAGATGGCTCAGCAGTTAAGAAGACCCAGGTTCGAATCCCAGTACCCACATGCCAGTTAACAACTGTCTGGAACTCCAGTTCCAGAGGATCCAATAGCCTCTTCTGTCCTCCGCAGGTACTGCATGACATGGGTGAACCTACGTATATGCAGGCAATACACTCATACACAGAAAATAAAAATAATAGATAAAATATTTAAAAAATACAGACTAAACAGGAATGATTTTCCCTTAGTATTTTCGAAATAATCTTTTGTTTTGTTTTTTGAGACAGGGTCTTGCTGTAGCCCCTGCTGGCCTACAACTCACCACGCAGACCAAACTGGTTTTGAACTTACTGAGATTGTCTACCTCTGCCTCCTGAGTGCTGGGATTAAAGGAGTGCACCACCATGCCTGGCCAAAATAATCTTTTTTTAAAAAAAATAAATTTTATTTATGTGTTTGTGCCTGGCACATGTGTGCCATGGTATATGTGTGGTGGTCAGAAAACAACTTGTGGGAGTTGGTTTTCTCCTTCTCTCATGTGAATTCTGGGTGTTGAGTTTGGGTCATTAGGCTTGGCAGACACCTTTACTTGATGAGCCATCTTTCTGGCCCTCAAATAATCTTTTTTGAAAAAAAATAAAAATCAATAGCCAATATCATTTTCACTTCATTCTTTTTTAGGTTTCACATTTTTTTTTTTTTTTTTTTTTTTTTTTTTTT